GGGGAAAAGAGAATTAACAGGAGTCAAAGCTTTACTCTAAAAGAATGAGTCTCCCTTGGTAAAATTTAAACCCTTATCAAACTGGATTGGGAGAGCAATGTTGGGGAGAAAGAGGCTGAACCACGTGGTCTTCTAGTCACAGGGAGTGGCCACCAGCCTGGATGATGGGGAAAGTTGCTTGTATTCCTTCTTTGTCATGGAGCTGAAGGCTGGCGAGCAGACTTGGAAACAGTTTGTGGAGCTGGAAGAAGAGGCAAGACCAACCAGCCCTTCCACTTGATGGGATTCTGAAAGCTCTTCACCAAGTTGATGCTGCTCTCCTTATGCTGTTCTCCACTCAACCCAATGCCACCTCCAACTTGCTAAGAATCTGGGTTTTCTGTGGGTCTGGACTGAGACCGACAGAGACTGGAAAGAGAGACTAAAACTTCACAGAGGAGTTCACTGGCAAAACCAGACACATGCACCACTTCCCATCCTGACCACGTCACTCAGCCTGACCACTGGCCCTGGACCCAGGGAAGGACACAACAGCAGGGAGAAAGCCTGCCTGGAGAATGGACCAGAAAGCAGAAAGACCATCATGGAGCAACATCTTGGGTTCCCTGAGAGTTCCTGAGCAGGAGCTTTGGCCTCAGAAAAATCTGAGTTTGGATACTTGCTCTTCCTGTTTCTATCTTGGCCAAGAGCTTTGCAGGTGTTATTTCACTTGATTCTCACAGTGACTTAGGTGAGGCTCCACATGAAATGTGAAGGTCACAGCTAGGACCAGAACTCAGTGCCTGCCAATCCCTCAACAAGGACTCTTTTCCCTGAATCCTGTTGCTTCCACATTTTGCTCTTGTGGATATAGAAGAAAGTTTTCCCAGGGTGATGACCCTGAGAAAAGAGAAACCACTCTCAGAAAGGCCATTTTCTCAGAAAATGTCCATGACCATTGTTGTCAGAGGAGGAACAACTGCCTGGTGATTTTCCTTCTAGAAAGTTTCCAGCGTCAGGTGGAGCAGGGCTCACAGTGCTCGAGTTTGTGAATCTGAGCCTCCAGCCTTCAAAGGGTTGATGAGAAAGAATGTCTTTTCAAAGGGAGAGGAGAGAGTCCAGAAGCAAGGAACCCCAGGGCCCTCAGACTCTGAGCAAATGTTCTCAGGGGACCTGTGCCTAGGGCTCAGCTGGGTCCTATCGTCCTTTACCAGGCAAGCTGCAGTCTTCGACCCATCCTCTTTTCTGCAGACCATTCAAGAACAACAGCCATGCACCGGGCAGTGAAGCAGAGCCTCAGGGATATCTTTCCCACAACTTAAAAAAAAAAAGAAAACTGATTTTGAATCACTTTAGTAATGCAAGCTTTCTCCAACTCCCCCTCCCTCCCCTCCTGTTGATAAGCTCCCTTCATTCCCCTCCTCACCTGTCTGGCTCCTGTGTTTGGAATCCTGTAGTTTGTGGCCAAATCTTTAGGTGGATCTTATTAAGTACGTTTTGAAAAGGTGATTGAAAGGGAGAGGAGTAGAGGAGAAGAACGCCCAAAGCTACATTCATTTTGCACCCTTTTCCTGGAGCAGGCTCTCTTCCTGAAGGAGAAGGTAGAAGTGGGAAGAGGTATCGCTCACCTGAGTTTCTGAGAACTGCTTGGAGAGAGTTTCAGGGTCCCTCCTGGATTTGAATGATGGACTCTTACAAGTGCATTCTGGGGGACTTCCCTGATGGTCCAGTGTTATGAGTCCACCTTGCAATGCAGGGCAATGAGGGTTCAATCTCTGATTGGGAATCTGACATCCCACATGTCATAGGACAACGGAACTAGCACACCTCAACTAGAGAGAAACCTGCATGCCGAAACAAGGATCCTGAGTGCCACAACTAAGACCCAACACAACCAAAAATTAAGACAAAAGAAGAAGTGCATTCCGCTTCTGGTAATGGAAGTTGCCCTGATCATTCATTTGTTCATTCATTCTTCCATGATCATTCAGTTGTTCATTCATTCTTTCATGACACATTTGCTGGACTCCCGTGTCAGGCCCTGTGGGAATTAAAACTGAAGATTAAGTGATCTTTCTCCTTTAAGGACTTTACCATCTACTGGGGGCAATAAGTACTCAAGTAGCTGTGCTGCAGGGTGGATGTATCAGCAATTAGGACAGCCAACCTCTGTGAGCTTTGCTTTAGAGAAACAGCAGCTCAAGGAATGCATATGAGTTTACCAGCTTTCCACTGATGGAGACTGGGAAGCCAAGAGCAGGTTTCTCAGAATGTACCCACAAGTGCTGTGTGGACCCAGTGAAAGCATGATGGCAATAATAAGCAGTTTATTAAGCATTAAAATATAATATCCCCAGAGTTGTATATGAAAGTGAAAGTGTTAGTCTCTTTCAGTCGTGTCCAACTCTTTGCAACCCAATGGACTGTAGCCCTGCAGGCTCCCCTGTCCATAGGGTATTCTCCAGGCAATCATACTGGTGTGGGTAACCATTCCCTTCTCCAGGGGATCTTCCTGACCTGCATGAGTGATTAAACCCACATCTCCTCTTTTGCAGGTAGATTCTTTACTATCTGAGCCGCCAGGGAAGCCCCAGAGTTGCCTATGCATTGCTTCATTTGGTCTTCACAGTAACTTTAATAAGTACATACTGTTACTATGCCCATCTTACAGATGAGAAACCTGAGGCCTTTAGAAGGTATGAAGCCTGTCAAAGGTGATACAGTCAGGAATGGTTGGAGTAGCAAGTCCAGCAACATAGCCTATGCTCTTAACTACCCTGCTATACTGCTTCTACATGAGTGTGAAAATGTCCCCTTACAAAAATCCAATTCTAGAGGAATAATTTCATCACATTGGCCACATGCACTGCCAAGCTCCGGTACAGGCTCACTCTACCAAAATGTGAAAGCAGTGGGACAGAAACAGGGGGAGGTGAGCTCTGTTTGGTTAACTAGCTTTCATCATATGTCCTTGGGCCCTGGGCAAGTAGTGTCTAAATAATCTTCACAAGGCAGTGTTATTTTAGGTGGCGTTTGAGACAGTGACACACACAGACTTCCCCTACAGCACTGTGGGGTCAGCTGCCTGGTTGGCAGCCGGCAGAGAATTCATGGAACTTGGATGGGCTTCAGAACTGGTACCAAAACCGTTCAGCTTATCTTGTTACATTTATTTTTGCTTATGGGAACTTACCATCATGGGAATGCTGTTCCAGTGACAGTCTGAGTGCCCAGGACAAACCAAGACAGTGGAACAACAATTCCAGGAAAGCCTGGTTCAGTTCTGACAGGGGTGATTTAGAGGGAGGCAAACTTTTAGTGATGGAGAAAAGATCACAGAGAGTTCAAGTTTGCTGCGCCATCACTCTTTGGACACATATGAGCTTTGTTTACAACTCTTAGAGCTTTCTATTAAAGTTGCATCTCACTAGCATGGCTAGAATTAGGGTAGGATAAACCATTGTGGAAACTCAGCCCTCAAGGCTACCCTTCAGACCTTAGTCATCCATTCCAACTGTATGGCTTCCTGAAATGTACCAGGTGCTTTCCAAAGCTGAGATGGGAGCAATGGTAGAGCAAAGAAGGCTAAGTCATCAAAGGGCATAGGTCTCAATGTACATCTTAACTTGCATTATTTATATCTTATAGCTGAGCTTTCTAAGGTTTATCAGAACTTCTTGCAAGTCCTGGCAACAGGGAGTTCAAGCCAGTTTGCATGTTGATTGAGCACCAAGTGCTTTTCTTGATTTTTGTTTCATCACAGAAGCACAGTGATTGATACAGAACAGTGAGGAGGTACAGTTTGTTGGATGAAGGGATAAATAAACACATATTTGAATATGTGCTTAGTTGTTAAGATGTTTTCAACTCTTTTGAGACCCTATGGGGCATAGCGCACAAACTCCTCTGTCCTTGGGATTCTCCAGGCAAGAATACTAGAGCGGGTCGCCATTTCCTTCTCCAGAGGATCTTCCTGACCCAGGGATTGAACCAGGTCTCCTGCATTGTAAGCAGATTCTTTACCTTCTGAGCCACCTGGGAAGTCAAACTTTGAATCTGATCAAACTAGATACTAAATATATTTCATGTCTGGTCAGAAAGCATCTTTTTTTTCATTCATTTATTATTCATTTATTCATTCATGCTTTTATATATATATATATTCAAATATATATGTATTTTCAAATATATATCTAAATATGATCCAGAAGATCATTTCCAATAATTAAAAAGAACAAAATGAAGTTCAATCACTGATGGTTTTATAATTTGTGTGTCAGCAAGGTCTCTCTCACCTATCAGCACTGGGTACTTATTCTTACTTTATCTATTATATTTTCTGGAAACTTATCTTTACTTGGAAAGCAGGGATGTATTCCAACAACTGCCAGGTAGTGACACAGAGACAAATTCCTGCTCTGCTTCCTCAGAAGAGGGAACAGGATCAATGTCCAGGTGGGTAAAAATGCAGGAAAACAGAGTTAGCTAAGACTCACTTTGGAAGAGCTTTTGAAAGCTTTCAGGGCTTCCCTGGGGGCTCAGGGTTAGAGAATCCACCTGCTCTTAAGCAGAAGAAATGTTTATTTGAAGTTCATCAATCCGTTGTGTTTTTCCTTGTCTTCATTTTATTTCAATTTAGACAAAGTGAATTATATTATCTTTTATTTTAAATGGCATGAATAATACAATCTTGCATTTGTAAAAATTCTAGATGCCTCTGTATCCATCCATTTATGCATTCTTCCATCTCACAACATATTCTCAGAGGTCTAACAAGAGCAGAGTTTCCCAATTTTCCTCCAGTTGAAAGAGTTCGAATCATTTGAATTTTAATGGTGAGTATATGTCATTCCTACCAATAAAACAAAGTCCTTATTATTTTCATAAAATAGAATAAATTGTAAGGAATCTAGGTCATTGAAAGAGTGGCTTGGCTTAGTAACTGGGTGCTAAGATCTTGGGGAGGGGGTGAATTTGTGCACCATTGTGTTAGTTTATTTGGAGTTTTCTCTTCTCTTCAGGTACCAGACATGCTCCAACAATGGACTGGTGGCAGGGTTCCAGAGTCGCTACTTCGAGTCAGTGCTGGATCGGGAGTGGCAATTTTACTGCTGCCGCTACAGCAAGAGATGCCCATATTCCTGCTGGTGAGCCTTGCAGCCAAACGCAATCCCTCACGGCTACTGGGATGGGAGGGGAGCTTGGGGGGATAGAAACGGGCTTTCGTCCACATTTCTAGTTTCAGATAAGCATCAGCCATCACAAGCAAGTTTTAAATATAGCAGCTAGCCTATAGAAGGGGAAGGATAGATGAAAGAAAAGGTCAGAGTAATATTCACACAGGGAGGGACCTTACAGGTCATCAGCCCAGTGCTCCTACGTCCCTCTTTTGCTAGAAAAGCAAACAAACAGAGCAATAGAGCAAAAGTGTGACTTGCCCCAGACCAGCCAGCTTATTTCATGGTGGTTGACCTCTAGGCTGAGGTTTACAGACTCCTGTTTCAGTGCTCTTTTCTGTCTCTATCATGATAACTTCTCATCACATCCAAGGACACTGGACATATCTGGGACCCTATCTTTTCTTGCAGGACTTCTTTTGAAGATCCAGCCTTTTTCCAGGTCAGCGTGCCAAACATAGTATATAAACATAGACTTAAAAAGGACCTAGCCTTTGAGTTGACTAGCCTTATATCAGAATATAAATTCTGATAACTTTCACTGGATGTGGACAACACAACTTGTCCCAAGTTCTTCAGTCTGGAAACAAGTCAGACATTTCTACTTGAAACAAGAGAGTAAGTGTCAACATTTGAACGTTGACTCACTCAAGTGACATATCTCTCCACAGTGTGATGTGATGCTTGGAAAAACAGCCTTGTGGGTCACACTTATTCTCTATAACCAAAAAACTCCACAGATGCTCAAGTAGGGCATGGTGTCTCTAGGGATAGGCAGCTCCAAAACCTTAGCATTTTTCTGTTCGAAGCAGTGATAAATGGTACATTCAGAGCTCAAAGTCACCTGATATCAGTAGCTCTCTGATGGGGCAGGCCCTTCATCCAGCTGTCCGAAATGCCTCCATGCTGTTACTGTCATTGCTCAGTCGTGTCCGACTCTTCACGACCCCATGGACTGCAACATGCCAGCCTCCTCTATCCTCCATTGTCTCCTGGAGTTTGCTCAAATTCATGCGCATTGAGTCAGTGATGTTATCTAAGCAGCTCATTCTCTGCCGTCCCCTTCTCCTCCAATGAGTCGGCTCTTAGCATCAGGCAGTGAAAGTATTGGAGCTTCAGCTTCAGCCTCAGTCCTTCCAATTAACATTCAGTGTTGATTTCCTTTGCTGCTGCTGCTGCTGCTAAGCTACTTCAGTCGTGTCCGACTCTGTGCGACCCCATAGATGGCAGCCCACCAGGCTCCCCCATCCCTGGGATTCTCCAGGCAAGAATACTGGAGTGGGTTGCCATTTCCTTCTCCAGTGTGTGAAAGTGAAAATTGAAAGTGAAGTTGTTCAGTCATGTCTGACTCTTCACGACCCCATGGACTGCAGCCTGCCAGGCTCCTCCATCCATGGGATTTTCCAGGCAAGTGTACTGGAGTGGGGTGGCATTGCCTACTCCATGATTTCCTTTAGGACTGACTTATTCGATCTCCTTGCAGTCCAAAGAACTCTCAAGAGTCTCCTCCAGCACCTCAGTTTGAAAGCATCAATTCTTCAGCGCTCAGCCTTCTTTATGGCCCAACTCTCATATCCATGCATGACTGCTGGGAAATCCTTAGTTTTGACTTTACAGAACTTTGTCAGCAAATTGATGTCTCTGCTTTTTAATATGCTGTATGGGTTTATCATAACTTTCCTTCCAAGGAACAGTGTTTTTGTTTTTTTTTTTTTTAATTTCGTGGCTACAGTCACCATCCAAAGTGATTTTGTAGCCCAAGAAAGTAAAATCTGTCATTGCTTCCACTTTTTCACCATCTATTTGCCATGAAGTTATGGGACCAGATGCCCATAAAGCTGGACTTACTCTACATGGTTGGTGAACAGGCATGGCTAGGGTGTAGGTTATAACTGTGAAAGTTCCTGAATCCAAGACCTAAAGGGTCTTACATTCGGGGTAGAGTTTCTTAGAAGCTAAGAATTTAATGAGCATGGAGCCAAGTATGTGGGAACAAAGTCTTGAGATCAAAGGCTAACAGAGATGAGCAACTTTTCTTAAGTTGCCCAAGACATTAAAATCTCTGGTAACAAAATTTATCCTTGGCTGTGGTCTGCAATGGTCTGCCCATCTTCCCTCACCACCCCACTCTCCCCATTCCTCATCCCACTCCGTCACCCAGACATGACACTGAGAGTTGGTAGAATCAAACTGTGGAGAGAGAGAGGAGAAGACTGGAGAGAGGAGAGAACTCCTCAGAAAGACACAGCAAGTCCACTTTGAAGTGATCGCTTTAAGAAAGGCTTCACTTGACTCGACCTCTTTCTGGTTGTGTGGTGTTAGAGCTGAGAACTACTATGGTTGTCAAGGAAATAGTACTTTTGCCAAGGGACACTTGGAACAGCACAATGAGATTGCAGGAGGCACTGTAGTATGCAGGGCATGACTCACTGTCCCGCCGGCACGTCTAGACATTTTAGTGGCATCTTTAAGTTTCCTGAGTCATGACGTTCTATGTTTTTCTAAATTGCATGAAACCTCTAGGGCATGAATTAGGTCTTATTTCTCTGGCATCTCAGCATATTGCCTGGCACAAAGTAGGCAATACATTTCTCAAATGAATAGTTGAACATCACAGGCCCCTCAGAACAGTAACAGTGGGGAAACCTGACATTGATATGAGAAGGTTTTATAGTGGAAAAAAAGTCTTCCTTCAAGTGCATTATTTTATCTGATCCTTTTAACAGCCCTTAGGAGTGAGAACTGTTTTCCCACAGCTTCCCACAGTGAAAGCTCCTGATAACCCTCTTCCTCGAAACCTTCCCTCACATCACTTTAACTAACTTGAATCACCTCCCAGGGAACTGGGCATATGTGGGTGGAAACATTTTTCTCTTCCCACTTGGAAGGCTGTTCTGTAGCACTGAGCCTGACACTGAGAATTGAGCATCTATCCTCTCCAAGCTTACAAGCTTTTAGGGATTCAGGAATAGCACCCTGTGCAAGGGAAAAAAGTAAATCATCCAAGCAACTCCCACGTAAGTGCAGGATTTATTTGTTTGGTGGCGACCAAGGCGCCGCTCCCATTTCAGTCTCTGCAGTTTCTCATGAGATATTATAGCATCACTGAAGTCTGGTAAGAAAGCAAATTCCTGATAGAAGCAGACATGGCATCACTCACGAGTCCCCACTGGGACTGGATACAGATGTAAATGTTGTTACACGTATTTATTTATGTGTGAGAATATTCATTCTTAGTCCATTCATCTGCAAACCACAAACACGTGTCACTGAGGAAGTCACAACCTTTCAGAGACTGTTTGAATAATTCCCCAGTCTCCACGCAGCTCCAGCGGCTGCTTGCCATGCACCAGGCTGTTCCCCATCAGCACGCTGAGGCTGTCCAGGCGTAGACCGTGTCCCAGGGACCGACAGGTTTGAATTGAGCATGTGTTTCCTTCCCTAAATGTTTCTTTTCCAGATTCATGACCTTTCATCACGTTCACTGCATAATATGTTTTGACCAAAAAAAAAAAGTCCTTCCTCAGAATCAGCGTAGATAACCCATTAGTTTTCCTTCAGCCTTGAGTTTCTATAATGAATTTCTACTATGAGTTTCTATATGAATCTCAGATATTGCATTCTATTCTCCACTATCTGGTCTCCCTCTCCATTATGCTGAAGTCATAAACCAGAGTTGTTTTTTAAAAAAATTAATTCCTAGATAGTTCTGGCTAACAGCTACAACAAAATCAGGTCATCTGAATATTCTCCTCTTTCTACCCCAAAGCACTCCATCAAAGCTTATCTTTAACTACTACTCTCATTGTCCAGATTTTAATACAAGATGGAAAATGTTTGCATTCCCGTTCCCTGTGAAACCATGACAGGGACAAGGATGACCACATAGGCATCTCCATGTGGCATCTGCCCCCCCCACCCCTGCTCAGATGCCTACTACAGCACTGCTCCCAGAAGCCTGATGGGAAGGGAAGCTTCTACAATGCTTCCTCTGAGCAGGTTGGAAGCTGTTATTATAGAGATGTTGGATGTTACATTTTTAAGCAGCTTGCATTGAGTTTAGATGCTTCTGGGCCTTAGATCAACCATCGCCTGTCACTGCACGAAGCACAAAGCACTCATTTTAGGGGTCGATGGCCCCTTTGAGCTTCAGCAAAATCAATCGTATCTGTCATCAGTTGGGGTAATATGGCTGTCGTAATCATTGTCCCATATTTCTAGTTTAGAAATGTATTTGCTGCCTGCATGTCAGTGCTTCCTCCCTTTCTATGCTCAAACTTCAAGAGTAGAAATTTCAGAGATGTGGCTGCTTGTATAGTAAGTAATGGGTAACCTAAGACCAGGTCCTATGTGCTGCTTAGAACAAAGTAAACGTTGCAATTCCAGACCCAATTTGTGGCTCTATACTTTCTTGTCTACTCTCCTTTATGGTATTCTAGAAATAATCATTCATTCCTCTATTCATTAATTCGCTTAATCAGACTGAATATAAATGGATATAAGTACAGTTCATGGACTTTGATTCAGTTCCTAATGATGATGATAATTTTTATTTATTTTATTTATTAATCTACCCTGTTAGCTCATTTACTTCTGATGCACAGAAATCATGATCTATGACCCAGATGAGAGAATCAGGGTGCAGAAGTTGTGACTTGTTCAAAGTTCTGAACTCAATTCCAACAGGTCTATCTGCCTCCAGATCCCACATGCTTTGCACAGTACTGAGTCCTCTGAATCTCGATGAGAAAATAAGACCCGGACAGGTGGAGTATTAGGTAACAATACAGTGGGCATCTCATAGTGAGAACAGAGAAGAAAGTGGTTATTTTAGCTGGAGGTGGAGTTGTCCCCACCAATTGCAGGATTAGGGCAACCATGACACAGTGTGGCCAGTGAAAACTAATATGAGTCAAAACAAATGTGTTTGCTGACCAACCCTGGGCTTGGAATGGTGAGCTGGAAATTCA